TGATCCCCGTTCCACAAAACATGCTCGCCCTTTCAGCCGTGGGGGCGTTATAATGTGACGGTCAGTCCCACTATTCGTTGGTAAAAGAGTAGCCCAAGAGTTAGCGGTGGGTGTTGATGACTACCTGCCTTCCCTCTAGTCTTACACTGCTAAATTAGGGACTGCTAGCGCAAATAGCCCTCGTGTAGCTTTGCGCAAAATTCAAAACAAACAAACTTAATTGATACATTATGGATTTCAGAACAGAGATTTTTTTAAATAAATTGAGAAACTTTTTTCGGGTTCTTTTGTAAGTCTTGAGGAACAATAGAGACAAAGAATGACAGCTCATAAATTTAAATGATTTGACAGTTATTATGTTATTCAAGCATTTATCATCCTACCCAAAGCATTAAGTTGTACGTCCATCTTTTGCACTCCTATCCCGTATATATATACATATACGTATGTATGTATGTATGTATGTGTCGCATATATAAATGTGTGTGTGTATGTTTCTGTGTGGAAGGGTGGTGGTGGTAATACTACGATGTGTACTATTAGAGGTTAAATGAACAAACAAAGATGCATTGCACAAGCAGGCTTCATTTAAGCTCACTTTAATTCTGCAAATAAGCTTTTGATTATAATTTTATCAGTAATCCCTCGTGAATTGTAGTATAATGTCAAAGAGCGTCACGCAGTTAATTCTGTGATGGTTTCCAAGTCAGTTATAAAAAAACATAGTAGTTGCATTAGCTTTCAGTAGCTATATAGAATACTTGATCATGTTCGTTGATGTTTAAAGACGTAATCAAATAGATTGTGAATAACCTGAGGCAAGATGCTAGTTTTACAGCTTATAGACGTCTAATTCATATTTGGAGATTCGTAACAAAGGTATGGGTCAAAGGACATTTTCTTTTCAATGTTCGTCAACGTTGTTTCCTTGCACTTGTTTCGAAATAGAATAAAACTGTCTCATAGAATAGTTTTATTATTATAAAATTAACAAGATCACCGTAAATAATTAGTTTTCATAAAATATACGCCTCTAAAGATATTATCAATAAAAAAAAGATATATATATTTTCTTGATAGTTTTGATAATACAACATCAAGCTAATATTAAAAAAGGATTATCCAATGATTTTACTTAGCTGGATAGCACTTCACATATAAGAAGTAATGCTTTATTTTGCTCTTATTAGCACAGATCTGTGTAAAGGGTTAACTACTTGTGATTCGACCCAATGCGGATATTGGAGCCCGAATGTTACCTTTATAAACCTTCAAACTTCCCGCTGAGCCATCGGAGAATAAAAGAAAAGAAACATAGAAACTATAAAATGGTGTGCTATTGAAAGATTATTGAGTTCATTTAAAATGACGTGAGGTATTTCCTCTTATCCTCTCTTTCAATCCTTTTAACATTATCTTAATAGGACTACTGATCAAGATAAAGGCTGGCAGTTTTTATAGATCTATTAACTGAATATTCAGTTTTAGCTTTGTGTAGAAATTTTATATTATTTTTATCAGTATTTTAAATTGATGATTATAATATTTATTAAATAAATACCAGCTTTTGACAAAATATAAATCAAAAGCATTCCAGTGGCTCAGCGATATGTCTTGGAACTTACAACGCTAGAAATCAGGTTTCGATATCCGTGGTGGGCAGAGCACAGATTGTCTATTGTGTAGCTTTGTACTTAACGTCAAACAAACAATAAATTAAGGATAATAGGTTTGCTTGTTTGTTTGTTTGTAATTAAGCACAAAGCTACACAATGGGCTATCTGTGCTCTGGCCACCACGGGTATCGAAACCCGGTTTCTAGCGTTGTAAAAGGTTAATAGGTTAAGATTTTGTTTCAAGTCAAAGCTTAAATCTAAAGATTAGTTATTGCCATTTCTAAGATTTGTCAAGAACTGAAGTTCAAATGTGTTCATGCCTTCTATAATTTTATATAGAATGTTCCTTTAGTAACTCATCAGAAATATGCTTTAAAATATCATAGATAAAGAGACTGGTATTTTTAACAAGAGGGGCATCTCATACATAGGTGCCTTCCAGTGGCACAGCGGTTTGTCTGCGGACTTACAACGCTAGAAACAAGGTTTCGGTACCCGTGGTGGGCAGAGCACAGATAGCCCATTGTGTACCTTTGTGTATAGATTCAAACATCGCCCATAATTTTGAGCTACTGACCCAAGAAAAGGTAGCCAGCCAGTCAACAATACTCCTCGCAGAAAGGAAGTTATTTGTTTTACTCATGTTTAATGTTGACCGCGGATTTAAATGACAGGTTTACGTAAATATTTCGTCACGCTGGTATAGTTTACTTTGGAGTAACGAGCGTTTTCAGAATGAAATATATAATTAAATAAAATGAATTAAATCATTGGTCAAAGTAGTTCTACTGTGTACATGGTGTTTTATATGTTATATATCGTAGAATACTCGGAAATAATTTTAATTTGATATGAATTTGTATGTTATTCATGCCATAAGGTACTGGTATGAAGTTTTGAAGTTGAAGGTTAAATCTAAGTATTAGGTATTGGCATTTCTAAGGTTTACCAATAACTGAAGTCTGAAAAGTTCAAATCTGAAACACAGATTAAAGGCTTCTAAGACAAAGAAATATAGAAAATAAGTTTTGAATTATTGGCAAGTAGGCACAATGTTTACTTTCAAAATGTGCTTAAGTAACGGATAAAATATGAGGCATATCTTTACAAAAGGCAATAAAACGAAAATATATGAATACACCAGCATTTTTGGTAAAAAACAACGAAAGGGTTGAAACTGACAAATAAATGATATATCTTAATATCGCATCTATCATCAATTTTAAATGTATTTTCTAAATATCAAAGTCCACATACACTAAAAGAAATTCCATTAGTTAGGTCTGGGCTTGAATTAGGTTATAGCAAACAAAAATTCGTCTTTATCGTTGAATTTCACTTAATATGTCATACACAATGAAGGATGGATTTTATGGAATCCATATCGAACTCTTCAATCGATCTTCTTCTGTCATCCGAAGTGTACATAACAGAGAACATAAGGAATGAACTTTTCTGAGACTTGTATTATGTATCACAAAAATAAGCATACGAACTGACAAAATACATTATTACCGAGATTTTTATTTTTTTGGCGAACAGATAAAAAAACACTCGAAGATCCTTCCAAAATAATGTACAAACGTACAAGATACAACTCTGAAATGTAATCATAAACGTAAATACAAATCGATCTTCTTCTGTCATGACAGAGGCATAATCGAGAACGTTAGAAATCAATTAATAATCTGCTTTCACTTGTAAGCCTTCGCAACTATGAATCAGAAATGATCAAAAGTTCGAACTCAAAGCTTTGTACATTAAAAGATTTATTAAAAACTTTTAATTTGTGATAATATAAGTAATATTAGACTGAGTACTCTAATATTGTGTACAGTAGAGCAATGTTTTTATAATTATACCTCTTTCATATCTTCTTCAATCATATCTTTACACCTGTATTTTGACTTCAAGGACATAATGATAACATAGAGTGCAAAAAAAAGGAAAATCCTTATAAAATACAACTGTCAATCAGTGAAATTAATGTATGAAAATATAAGATATTCATTATTAGAATTTATATGTTTGCTTGTTGTTAAGCGTTAGGCTGTACAAGGGACTACTTGCACTCTTCTCACCGAAGTTATCTATACCTGTCTTTAGCATTATGTGCCCTCAGATTTATCGCTGAGCATTTACAATTTAAATCTAAAGAATGAAACATAGTTTATTAATATTTATTATCCACTTAAGGTTTGGACTTCAAGCTTTCTTCATCGGCAAGGACTTTTTGGCAATCGAATCTTTTAAGCTTTCTTTATAAACAAAGTATAGTCAATTAGAAAAGGCTTAATGTCGAAAGGCGGGAGTACAATAACGGCCAAAAAATAGTGTTACTTTCTCGTCGTTTCGCTTTCTATGTGAAGAGTACAATTCTCTATTTAGCTCTTAGATATTTGGAAAACTACATATTTTCTGTTAGGTTTTCAATAACATACCAATAAGTTTACAAAAAAACCAGCAACAACAACAAGTATAATCTGTGAATTATAATGCCCTAGAAACCAAAATAATAATGTTTCATCATTTTTTCAAGTTAAAAAACATTTGTTTCTCAAGGATTTAGTTTAATGGTTATCCTCTCTACATTGTTTATTTTAATATAACAAAAACTGAAATATAACTATATGTATATAATGGATTTTTTTTTCAAATGAACAAACTTTTGATGAATATATTTTGTTTTGTTTTTTTCATTTTCGTCGTTTGTTTGTTTGCTTGTTATAGATTTCGCGCAAAGCTACACGAGGGCTATCTGCGTTAGCCGTCCCTAATTTAGCAGTGTAAGACTAGAGGGAAAGCAGCTAGTCATCACCACCCACCGCCAACTGTTGGTCTACTTTTTTTACCAACGAAAGGCTGAAAGGGCGTGCATGTTTGGTGTGAAGGGGATTCGAACCCGCGACCCGCAGATTGCGAGTCGAGTGCCCTAACCACCTGGTCATGCTGGGCCTATTTTTATCGTTGTGCACAAAGTTACCCAATGGACTTTCTGTTCCCTTCTCACCCCGGGTATCGAAACCAAATTCTAGCGTTATAAGCCCACGAAGTTCCTGTCGAGCCACCTGGAAGGGTGTATTTTATGTCAGGTTTAAAGTTGTATATTTTACTTTGGCTACCAGCATAGTTACGAGTCTGGCGTGGTCTAACAGAGCTAAGAGCTGAAAGTTTAAGGTTTGAGTCATGATTTGCACCTGAACACTTAATGATGAAGGCGTTACAGGGCGTTACAATTGTAACAGTTAATCCTGCTATTTACTTAATAATAGTCATATAGGAGGCAGCTGCTTTTAACTAGCTGCCGTCCCTTTGGTCAACAGTTGGAATGTTATAGAATTATTGAGTAATTCTTGTTCTTACGCATTGTTTTGTAGGCTAACTATGGAACATGAACTCAACAGAGTTAATGTGATACAAAATCTCGCCAAGGAACATGGACTCAACAGATTTAATGTGATACAAAATCTCGCCAAGGAATATGGACTCAACAGAGTTAATGTGGTACAAGATCTCGCCAAGGAACATGGACTCAACAGGGTTAATGTGGTACAAGATCTTGTCATGGAACATGAACTCAACAGAGTTAATGTGATACAAAATCTTGCCAAGGAACATGGACTCAACAGAGTTAATGTGGTACAAAATCTCGCCAAGGAACATGGACTCAATAGATTTAATGTGATACAAAATCTCGCCAAGGAACATGGACTCAACAGAGTTAATGTGATACAAGATCTTGTCATGGAACATGAACTCAACAGAGTTAATGTGATACAAAATCTCGCCAAGGAACATGGACTCAACAGAGTTAATGTGGTACAAGATCTTGTCATGGAACATGAACTCAACAGAGTTAATGTGGTACAAGATCTCGCCGTGGAACATGGACTCAACAGAGTTAATGTGGTACAAGATCTCGCCATGGAACATAAACTCAACAGATTTAATGTGGTACAAGATCTCGACCCTTTAAGCTGGAAACGATTTTCTACTAAAAACGACTGTCCTTTACAGCGAGTATAGTGCATTTTCACTGTGTTTATTTGAATTAAGGTTGTTTACTGTGATTGTACATTGTATTCAGTTTATTTTTATTTTTTAATAGCACAGTTATTTAGAGAACACAGAATTACTTTCTATGGGGTCCTGGGTCCATTTTATAGTAATATAAATTAATTTAGGGATGTGAATAATGCTATGACATTTAGTCACTTCACCATTATAAGAGGCCTAATGGTATTCCTATGGTTTGCTGACTCAAGCTGTGCTGATGAGCCTTGAATAGGCAAAACTCCAGTCCACAACAGAGGATACAGCCAATCAAAGAATACATTAGGCTTCTACAGCCAATCAAAGAATACATCAGACTTCTACAGCCAATCAAAGAATACATTAGGCTTCTACAGCCAATCAAAGAATACATTAGGCTTCTACAAACAATCAAAGAATGCATTAGACCTCTACGTCATAGATGCTCTTTTCAATTTCACCTCTGATGAAAAAGAAAATAAATATTTGACACATATATACAAAATTACTTTGCTGTATACATATTGACGAATCTCCTACAGTGCTATTTGTCATTCTTAGGAGAAATCACTTGCTACCGAGAAGTACCGCAACTATACCAAACATAACTTTTCTATTAGCAGTTTAAGTTACGTACCATCAGAAAGGCAGAAAATTTAATTTTGGCTGTGAGAAAGTAACTTAATTAGAATATTTTCTCATATTAAAATGAGAGCCAAAACTAAAGTCTGAAACTTCCTCCAACCAAGATAGATAGTTACTAGTATTAGAACAGATAATAAATGCATTACCCATGTTCACGAGAAATAAAAATGAAGCATAGTATTCTGTAAAATCCAACCGTAGCATATGTTTTTCAAGCTTCACATATTACATAGGACAATAAGAAACATAAGTAGAGGAGATATATATAATAGGTTAGTTCTGTGATACCTTACAACCTCTAGTGAATCATTGCAACTGTTTCTGTAAACTGAAAACTTCTAAGTGAACGTTAATTTGTTAATAAAGTTATATTCTTACCACTCAAGTATTAGTTTTGTAAATATTTAGGACATCAAAGTTATGTATTATTGTTTTATTTTTGTTCCGACATGTGTCAAATGTCGTACAATGTATGGTATTGTGATTAAATATAAAAGAGAGAGAGTTTCTACAAGTTTTACAGTGGAACAAAGAAACTCGTTAATACACATGATATTCAGAGTACTAAATTATATAACAATAGTATCATTATTACGTCCCTAGATGTATGGTATTGTGATTAAATATAAAAGAGAGAGTTTCTACAAGTTTTACAGTGGAACAAAGAAACTCGTTAATACACATGATATTCAGAGTACTAAATTATATAACAATAGTATCATTATTTCGTCCCTAGATGAGTTTGTTATGAAACAAAATTGAAGAGCAAATATGTTCTAAGACGGTTTATTTGTTTGTTTGTTTTTAAGCTTAAATCTACACAATAGGCTATCCGCGATGTAACCACAAGTTCTAGCTTTGTAAGCCATCGACTAACAACCAAGCTGTCTTTATTGAGGAACGAAATTGTTCGGGAGATATTAGTATCGAGCACTATAACAGACTTGCTTGTTGTTGTCCTTGCCTTCATACATATTCAGAGGCTTCTCATTCAGGAAGATGACACTTAACCTTCGTTAAGATTCACTGAAGGCATCCTTCACATGTATCTAGCAAGGACATGTCTGATCATTTGATTACTTTCTGACTGAGATCGACAACATCCTTTCAACCATAAAATTTTCGATCAACTATTTCCAATCTCTAGCACTTTTCCTGGACGTCACAGTCACCAACATCCCGACGGAACCATAAGCACACTATTTTGACGTCAAGATGACTCTTAGGTACACATACCTCCATGCGAATAACTTAGAAATATACTTACTGCTCCTCTAGGATTTTCCCTAACAGCCTCGCCCTATCTTTTAGAAAACTTAGCAATAAGCACGCTAACAGTAGGAGAAGCAACCTTATGGGAAAGATTATGAAAATAAACCACAAAACGAAAAAATAATTTTAATGGATACTTCTATTCTTGAAACAAACAATAACACAGAGAAATGTATCAAAATCACTTTTATGACATCGAAGGATCAAAATACTCCACTGTTATGTGTACTATGCACCATTTTCTCCTTAACTAAAGCACCATGTAACATAAGATGAAAAAATATTTCTGTGAAGAGAATGATTTTCAAAGAAAGGTATATTATTTCGCCAAAAGGTTCATTATTCTAATTGAAAACATCCACGAAACATATTCAAAACTTTATCTTATGAAAAGCGTTTAAGTATTTTTTATAACACCCAAATTGCAAATGATTGCTAAGCCATAACAAATGTTGTGTGCTTGCACCAGCAACAACATTTTATTGCCAGAAATAAATATTAAAATAGTTATAAAACAAGATTTGCTCAAATAGATCATTCAAAGGAAAAAGAGTACGATCTTTTGAAATAAAATTTAGAAGCAGTCTCAATCAATATCTCATTATCCATTGAACAACTCAGTTTACTCACACAATGTCCTTATATTTGTTTAGATCCTGAACTCAATAGTTTCTTAACTATTTGATAATTAGCACCTATAGACATCGCCATTTTTATGTTACGTATTGCTTGTCCTTTGGATGCTATCCTATACATAGCCCCTGACATCGTGAGGAAAGAAGATTTTATAATAGGTTAGTTCTGTGATACCTTACAACCTCTAGTGAATCATTGTAATTGTCGCTATAAAATATATTTTTTTTACTAAAACCTTCTAAGTGAAAGTTGATTAGTTAAAAAGGTATATTCTTACCACTGAAATACTAGTTTGATAATTATTCAACACATTTGTTCTAAGTATTACCAGTTTGTGCAAGACTTAATTTTACGTATATCTGGGTTATAAGTTATCTGTATGCTAGTTTACAAAAAAATAGTATTCGAATAATAACACATAAAATAACAATTTTTCTACTATTAATCACCAATTTGGTGATAAGGAAAAAAAAAGAAATATATTTTGAAATAAAGACGAACACAACACAACTACCAATAGAATGTAAGATAAATAATATATTCAAAAATATGTATATACTTGTAATTACCTTTCAATAACAAAATGACAACGGTGGAAAACAACGAGGTTCTTTCATTACGATTGTTCCGGTTTATTAGCCCCATTGTTACGATTGTTCCGGTTTACTAGCCCCATTGTATGAAATACTGTTCTTACAAAAATTCTAGCTAATAATTATTAATAAGAACTCATGAGTGAAAATAAATAAGAATGCACCGTAAAAGTCAACCACGTTAAACCTAGTGCCGACTAGACGTTTCGTACTACTGATTATAATGGCATCTTCAGAACTGAGTACTTGATTTAACCATACCGCAAACTGGTGAGGAAGTATAAACATCTACTGTACTTGGTTGTTTGTAGTAATTCGAATAAAATATTAATGTGTTTACGATATAATAAATATTTTAGACGAAATTTTTAGCAGTTTGGATCTGTTGTTCATTTGCTTAGAATTTTTGCACAAAGACACATAGCCGTTCCTAATTTTGAATTGATAGACTAGAGACAACGCACCAACTCTGCAGCACTCACCACCAACTCTGGCATTACGAATAGGGGATCTAAACGTCATTATTTTAGCACGCTCCTGTATAGAGCGAGTTGTTGTTTTTTGCGGTAATAGGGACGCAAACCGTGAATCCTCGGGTACACAGTCCGAACATCTGATCACTAGGCCTTTCCTGGCCCTGACTGTTGTTTGGAAATGTTTATTAAAGTGTTAAGTTAAGTATTTTTCATTACAAGTGCTATTTTTGCCACGCAAACATTCAGTATTTTTTTTCAGTCATCAAAGTAAAACAACGCTAGAAACCGGGTTTCGATACCCGTGGTGGGCAGAGCACAGATAGCCCTTGTGTAGCTTTGTGCATAATTAAAAACAAACAACAAACAATCAAAATAAAATGTTTAAGTTTTCTCTTTGTTATTGATGTTCTTCTTCGCGTTTCTCTTTTGTTATGTTAACTAGTAGTTTAAAGGTTTTATAACTCTATATTTACACAATTGTTCCCCATTTTCGTATAATTCCAACATTAACATCATTTGGTAACACAATGTTTATCTAAATAATGCCATGTTTCAATTTATGTTTTCTCAATACCCAATTATTGGGAGCCTGAGCGTGACGTAGTGGATAACGTATCGAACTATGAATCCGGGACTCATATAACTACCTGTGAGTGAATAATAAAAGTGACACCAGTTCGGTAAAGCATAATAGTACCAGGTTGTGAGGGCTTCCAACTAGTTGCTTTCCCACTGGCCCACAGTTCAAAATTAGGGAATGGCTATTACGCAACTACAAGGAGACTCGGGCCATTATTCCATTCGGAGCACAAACAAACCTACAATGGGGTTTAATATTTTAAGTTGGTAAGAAACTTTTATCTAAATAGTGCCATGTATTTCATTCCATTATTCGTTTTACACAATTTGATATTTTCAGTTTGTGCTCCGAGAACTCGCGCAATATTCAAACAATTATTTAAAAACTATTAACGCATTATAAACACATATATTTTACTCAGTCACCGAAGGTAGACAGAGGTTATATTTTCACACCTGTGGGTATGCGTGTTTGTTTGTGTGTTTCTCAGCAAGATTTCTCCAAAAGGGCTGAATGGAATTGGACGAAAGTTGATATGCATTTTGGCTATGACCCAACTTAGAAATAATTAGTTTCTGGATGGTCAAGGTCACGAATATAAAAAAATAATCCCTATTTGTTAACATGGGGACCGATTTTTCACACTATGTTTGCTCTATATCTCAGACAAAAATGATCCGATTTCAATGAAACTTGGTGGAATTATGTAGAATAATATTCCTCATTGTCCTGCCAAAAATGGTCCGTGTTTGTCGATAGCTGCGGACATACGGACACATTTCCGTATTTTTT